AACTCTGTTTCAAAAAAGCAAACAAGCAAAAAATTCCTTCAATTACTTACTGACTTTTGAATGTATTCATGTTCCTAAGTTCAGAATATGCATATTCTAGAAGAGGGAAGCAAAAAAACCCCACAAATATAAAATATATATAAAGTGTCAGGTAGTGATATATCTAAAAGTAAGTACTTAAGGCAGTGAAAAGATTTGGGAAGGGGAGTTGGTGTCAGATTGATAGTTTAGAGCCATGCATGGTAGGGTATGACTAACCCATCTCTCTGGAGGCAGGAGAATTGTAAGTTAGAGGAAAGCTTAGGCTGTTCCACAGTGGATTCCAGGACAACTGGGCTGTGCACCAAGATGGGGTGAATAGATTAATATTTAGGACTGGTAACTTAACTCACATTGGCCAACTTATAACTGCTTGTAATTCCCATTCCAGGGTATCTGATGCCTTCTTCTGACTTTCATGGGCACTTAAACACAGCTACACATAAATGTTTTTTAAATTTTTTTTTTTAATATTTTAAGGGGGTTGCTAATCACTCTATTTTTACAAAATGTAGTTTGTCCAGGGCACTGTCACTGAGAAGATGAAGGTTAAGTGAAGGCCAGGAGTTGAGAATGTGAGCGTTTAGATAAAAGAGAGGACTATAGAGCTATTTAGCCGAGGGCTGCAAATGCAAAGGTCCCGAGGAGAGGATACATCTAGTGCTGTGAGATCGAAGCCGGCGGAGGAAGGGTAAATAGGGAGTAGCTGCTGCAGTGGGGGAGAACAAGACACAAGCCGTGAATTCAGAAAGTCCATTCTTCCTGCCTTTTTCCTCTATGGGACAATGCTGACTCCCATGTGATGCCTTCTCCTGCCCTGTAACCCAACTCATGTCTGGCCATGTGGTGCCACCCTTTGTCACCAACTTATCACCTTTAGACAGACTCAGGTGTTCCCTCCTCAGGCCTCTCAGTTGTAGTTTGTATAGACAACTTTTGGACTGGGCAGGAGCAGAAGAGTCTGGCTAGAAAGCCCGCTCACCCCCCTATGTCTCTCCCCAGACCTCATATTCATCCTTGAAACGGTTCACCACTCATCCTAAAACCCGGTTCACACCCGCCCAGTCATTACCCAGAGTTCAGCAGGTAAGAGAGCAGAGGAGACAACTGATGTGGGCCAAGACTAGGGAGGAAGAGAGAGGGGTAGGTACTGTGTGGGATGGGGGGAATGTTAAGACTCCTTTTTTGTTTTTTGTTTTGTTTTGTTTTGTTTTTATGACAGGATTTCTTTGTGTTAGAGCCAGAGTTGTCCTGGAACTAGCTCTGTAGACTAGGCTGGCCTTGACACACAGAGGTCTACCTGCCTCTACCTGAGTGCTGGGATTAAAGGTATGCACCACCACCACCCCCTGGCCCTTCCTAGTCTTAAAAATAGCCGGTGCTGGCGCAGGTGGTGGTGGTGCACACCTTTAATCCCGGCACTCAGAGGCAGAGGCAGGTGGATGTCTGTGAGTTCGAGGTCTACAAGAGCTAGTTCCATGTCCAGTCTTGGACAGGCTCCAAAGACACAGAGAAACCCTGTCTCAGGGGAGAGGGGGGAAGAGACAAGACTATGGAGGGAGAGGGGCAGGCACTGTGGGGGATGGGGAGGGTAGGCTCAGTAAGAGGAGACTGTCTCACCCATGGGCGATATGTCTTGTCTGATGCAGACCCAGTGGCGGAGTGGTCTCTCTCCTCATTCCTCCCCTGAAGACCCTGCCCTGCCCTGGGTAAGTGGCAAAACTTCCTGTACTGAGGTCTGTGGTGCTATCCTGCTGGCCTGGAGGGCTGGCAGCCTTGTGGTTTGAGGTAGGTGAACCATCTAAAGAATCTGCTTGCCTCTTGTTTCTCTATCTACTCTTCCTATCCTATGTTTAGAATGTCTGTCTGTCTGTCTCTATTTTCTGCTAGTCTGAAATCCTGAAGAAATTTCTTGTATGTGTGTATCAACATCTCAACAATCTGGGCATCAAACTTTTGATTCTCCTGCCTCAGCTTCTTGAGAGCTAATATCAGCTCTGGTTTTTAGAGCCACCAGAGAGCTTTGACCCATTCCTCAAGAGGGTGCGGACAGTCTTCCCACCTTAATCTGACTTCCTCACCTGCCCCTTTCCTTCTTTGTGGCAGGAGCAGATTGCTGTAAGGTTGTTTGACCAGGAGAGTTGCATCATGTTGCAGAAGGGATCCGGGAAACCACCTGCAGCAAGCACTTCTGGACCTCACCCCTTCGAAACCCCCAACCTCCAGGAGCTAAAGATGCAGGTAGGGATGTAGTGACCGCACCTTTGGTGGCTTCTGCACCATGAGAAGACTGGGAATGGGGAGCCGGGAGGGGAGGTGTGGGGAGACCTTGTGGACACAGTGATGACACGCTGGGATACTCTCTCCACCACAGCGCATCAGTCTTCTGCAGCAACTCCTACAACAGGAGATCTAGGGACTGGGAGTGGGCAAGTGTGCCCCTCTTAATGGAGGCTCTGCTCTAGAGATGACCAAACTTCAGCCCCTGCTGGCTGACATTTCTAGAACTCCGAATGCTCCAGAACACAATCCTGGAACCTCCCTTCCTGGACTGTCAAGATACACTGGTGTGACAGAGCCAGACCTTGCAGAAGAGTGTGGGGAGCCACAACCCCACGGTGCAGAAAAGCATGGGGAACCACAGCCTTGCCCTGGGGGAGAGACCAAGGTAGTTCAGCCCAGTTCTACCACAGACCCAGAGCCCCCAGTGCCATGCTGGATAGCTGAGTCAGAGCCGCCAGAGCCTTGCCTTCCAGTACTGCCTGGACCCCTTCTGCCTCATCTCCAAGGACAGGCTGAACCCCTTGAGGCCTGCCCTTGGATGGAGCTAGGACCATCGGCAGCCGACTCTCTGGAAGCTAGAAACCCAGCATCCAACCCACAGCCATGTTGGAGTCAGGGGCCTCCAGCAACCACCAGCTTGACCTTCTCTTCACAAAGCTCACTCTGTGCCAGCCCCCCTATCCGCTCACTCCAGTCTTTGAGGTCCCCAACAGGCCAGTCAGGTAAGGAACTGGCTGGGGAAGGGTATGAAGAAAAGGTTCTGTCTCTTTGGGAGTGGGCCCTGCCTTGCCGGGCAATGCTGTGCTCTTTCCTCTGGCCCGCATCTGAAGAGCTCTCCTGCCCTATGTTTCTAGCTGGCCCTGCTCGTGGGGGAGGAGAAGGGGCAGCACCCAGAAAGAATATAACTCCAGAGTCTCTAAACTCCTCATGGCCTTCAGGCCCCAGCAGTCTGGCCCCTCGGACTCTGGCTCTGAGGCAGCGCCTCAAAGCATGTCTCAGCGCCATCCATTGCTTCTATGAGGCGCGTCTGGACGACGAGTGTGCCTTCTACACTAGCCGAACCCCACCTCCTGGACCCACCCGGCTCTGCACCAACCCTGTGGCCACGTTGCTTGATTGGCAGGATGCCCTGGTGAGCCTTCTGTTTACAGCCAGAACCTTCTGCGCAGCGACCCACAGGACAGTGGAGGGGGGCTAGCCTTGCTTCCTTTACCAAGGTGTAAGGGAATGAATGTGACCCAGTCTCTCTCTTTCTCCAGCAATTCATTCCAGTTGGTTCTGTGGTCCCACAGGACTCTCCATCCTGACTCCAGCCTCCACGGTCTGCCTCACTCACCCCTTCCTCCTTAGCCTTATTTATTGTTGCTCTGCCCGTTGGACTGGGAGCCATCCCCTTTTATCCTTTAATAAAGTTTCTATGAATTGTGAGTGCTCCGCCAGGGCAGCTACTGCTGTCGCTCTCCAGTGCCACACGGTGGCAGTGTGCTCCAGTGAGAGGGACTGAATGCTCTGGACTGCCGGCTTCCTCTCCTGAAGCTGTCTTTCTTCCCACTCCTGCCGTGCCCACCGCAGCAAACTCTTGAGGGGGTTAGAGGAAACTGTAGAACTCTCTGAGATTAGTCCCGCTCCAGGGCCACCTGCTATTTCCTCATCTAGAGTACCTCTGCTAGAACTCTTAGTTGGCGCCAGTGACCCTAAGCCACCTGGAAGCTGAGACAGGAGGATTACTTGAACCCAAGAGTTGGAGACCGCCCTGGGGAAAAAGAAAAACTACAAAGACCAATAGCAAGGGCAAAAAAACTGCTAGAATTCTCTTCCTGTGCAGGCACTTTTAAACCCAACTTTGGAGTCTTCCACACTCTGCTTGCAGAAACAGCAGCCCTGAAGGGGACCCTTCCCTCTGCTCATCCATCCCACATCAAAGCCAAAGTCTTCATTCCTCTCCTAGAGAGACAGGTCTGGCTAGACTTAACTGCAGAGAACAGTCTCCTAGTTGAGGCTGACAAGCAGGGTAGAAGTCCTTTCTGGACATCAGGCAAAGGGGCCGCCACTTCTCCCTCCCACCCTCCGCCAAGGCAGTCAGCCACACAATCCCCAGCCTCACTTTATTGGAAGAAGTAACAGCATCCGTAGCTGCAGGGCCTAACCTGGAGAGGGGTGAAATGAGTACCGTATGTACAAAATGGGTTTTAAGTACTAGGAAGGAAGTCGTTGGTTCCTTCAGTTCACGGGAAGGCTGTCTTGGCTAGGGCCTGAAATAATGGAGGTGCAGGAGGGGAACGGAAAGAAAGTGGCTACTGAGGTCCAGTATCTAACCTGTGACAGTCTCCCGTGCTCCTTCCTCTGTCCTTTCCCTCCCAAACTGCCAGTGCATCCTTTACCCCCTGTGAGTCTTTGATCTCATTTAGTTAAGCTGTTCCCCAGCTCCAGGCGGAAGGGAGGGCCACGACTGGCCGGGTTTCATTGGAGCACAAGCGAGATGGTCCCGCCCTAAGTGGCTTCTCTTCATCCCAACTTTCCACTCCCCCGTCACTTAAAACCCTTGAGCCCCAAGAGTCCGCTCTTTTAGGTAGCCTGGGGAGCCGGAGAGTGGCGGGCTCTCAGAGGATTGGGCCTTGGGTAGGACTAACTGGAGGTGGGTGTGGATTGGAACAAAGGGGCAAGGGGGGGCGGGCAAATGCGCGTGTGTGGAAAGGTGCTGGGTTCAGTCCGGATAGATGATGAAGCCTGAGAAGGTGCTGTACTTGTTGGTGTTGCCACCATGCACTTTCCCACCGTCCAGCTTGATGAAGACCTCGTCACCCACATCTAGGTGAAGAATGACGCTGTTGCTGGCATAGTCGTAATTCTGATCCGCATCCTGAGCAATGGCGCTGGCCCGGACCTAGTGAGAGAAGACGAAAAAAAAAAAAAACAGACCCACATCCCTATACCCTGTGCAGAGCCGAATTGATCGAGGGGGTTGAGCCCAGCGACTGCTGGAACAAGTTAGGCTTAGGTATGGACTACGGGAAGGAGTGTGGGACCAAATTGTGTTTCTCGACCTGTGGGTTGTGACCCCTTTGGGGTCTAACGACCCTTTCACAGGAATTACATATTAGATATTTACATTGCGATTAACTATCTAAATAACTAGCAAAATTACAGTTATGAAGTAGCAACAAAATAATTTTATGGTTGGGGTCACCACAACATAAGGAACCATATTAAAGGGTCGCAGCATTAGGAAGGTCGAGAACCACTTAAGTTAGGAGACGGCGGAGCTTCTCAGGCATAACTTGGGCACACATGTACCATCTCTTGGCCTCTATTAGAGCAATAAGGGGTAAAAATAATGGATCCTACCTCATGAGGTGGTTAGGGCTAAATGAGCAAATTACTCTTGGACTGGGTTCAGAACCATATTTTGTGTACTGAAAATGTTACTTAGAATTGCTGTTCTCGTGAGAAAAAAAAAAAAGCTTTCCAAATACTTCTAGGCATCCGTGCTCCATCAGAATTCCTAAACTAGCTTTTCTGTGGGGCTGGGGAATACTTGTATCTGCATCTGTTATACAGTAGGAAAATAAACCTGTTTCTCTCTGGCCTCCTGGGCCCAAATTTTCCTGTGGAGAGTTCACCTGGTCTCCCACCATGTGGAGGGCTGCCTTTGGTCGGGATCTCTGGTCTGCAGCAGTCATACCGCCAGCCCCTTCCCTCGGTTTCCGTCCCACCAGGACGGTTATTAAATCATTAATTATTCATCATTATTCTAATCATTATTTACCATTCCCAGGGCCGCAGTGTTGGCTCCATGGAATACAGAATGGGCGCTGCGCCACCCCGCCCCCTCCAAAACCAACACACTTGAACCTCCTCCCAGATTGCTGGCACAGACCAAATCTACCTGCTCAGTGCCACGAGAAGAAAGACACCAAGCTTAACTTACACTTTGGCATTCCACAGTCACGGCTGCACTTGGCTCATGTGGAAACTTAACTATCAACGCCATGAAGCCACGGATAGCCTAACAACTCCCTTTCTTCAGGCTCTGGACAGAGGGCTTGTTAGGCGCAGACCCCAAAGCTGAAGCAGAAGGTTAGCTAGGGTGGTGTCCTCTTGGGATTCGGGAGCTTTTCCGCTAGATAACAGGGCTCAAGGCTTAGGGGGCCCAGAGGCATAGGCCTGGTGCACCAGGGCCCCACCCACTCCGTGAAACATTCAAAGGTCACTGCTCCCATCCAAACCTTCCTCTTCCTGCACAGTGTAGGCAGCTCCCTCCACCCCAGCCTATGGCATCTTGCTAGTTCAAATGTCTGAGTCTTTTGGGGAGCTAGTCCCTTAAACCTAGGTGCCAGTGATTTTGACTAACCCACTGGGGCAGCGCATAGTGTAATCTAAGAGGTTCCCAGGAGGTTGTAGGGCCTATAGATCAGGCCTTTTTTCTTTCTGTCCATTGCTTCAATGCTTTTCCAATTGGTTCATCCCACCATCTATGTGAACCCTGAGCCAGCAGGCCATTTTCTACATCTGCCTCTAGCGTCAGTGTTAGCTGAGGGCAAGACTTGGTCTAAGTTTGGCCCCAGGCCCCGGGGGTGAACAAATAGGACAGCTACCTAGCAAATGGGTAAAAGTGTTTTTTTTTTTTTTCTTTTTCCACCTTTTCTTTGGAAATCCAAGCTGAATGACTCCACCTAGAGAAAGATGGCCACTACCCAAAACAAGAGTCCATTCTAATTCCTCAAAACCAGGTTCCCTAATAGCTTGTTCCATGCCCGGGCTGGAAAACCCACTGAGAGAGAAGACAGGCCCAGTAAAGACAGGAGGAGAGAAGAGGCTGAGGGGTAAGATAGCACCGAAGACAGGATGTGGCAGGTTATGGTTGTTGGTTGGAGACTGAGGTTGAGGCTGAGTTTTAGCCCTGACATTGCTCTAAGGCTCTGTGAGACTTTGGGCAGATGACTTTCTTTCCCAGGCCCCCAATTCCTCCTCTTCGATTAAGTGACATAAATTTTTGATGGTCTGGCATTCTTGGACACCCTGATAGTGTTTCAGGGGAGGAGCTGGGTTGCGACTGAGTGCAGGGAATTTTAGGAAGACACTAACTAGTAAGATCTGGGGCTAAGTAGAGGGGCAAGCTCACCTGTCCGTTCTTCATCAAGTCGGCCCACATGCTGGTGCCGTCGCCGCCGCGCATGAGCACATGGTAAGCGAAGAAGTAGACGCCCGGCATGGGACAGGTGAACTTGCCACTGGCTGCCTCGTAAGCGTTGCCCACGTTGGTCACCACGTCGTCAAAGCGCAACACTTCATAACCCTCGTGAGGCCGCCGAAGACCCGCGTAGAAAGCAATTCGGGGTACATAACCCGCAGGGGGCGCTGCCCCTCCAGGGCCTGGACCAGGAGGACCCGGGGGACCTGGCCTGCCTGGCTCTCCAGGGGGCCCTCTGGGACCTGGGGGTCCTGGTGGTCCGCGTAGGCCCGCCTTCCCTCGCCGACCCACCTCTCCCTTGGCACCTGGAGGGAACGGAGGAGCCGAGACGGGAGCGCCGTCGGGGCCTTGGCCTCGGGGTGCGTGGGGGTCACACACCATGCGACATCGACCCAGCATCTCATAGTGTGTTGGTCCGCGAGAACTGTGCACCAGTAGCGGGATGGCTACCAGCAGCAGCAGCACCATGGCTACCCCGACGGCCGCTCCCGCCACCCGCTTGCGGCGGCTCAGCCGTGACGCGGCCAGGGCCAACAAATCCTCCTCACTTTTGGGCGCAATGGCGGCGGCGGAGGCCCGGGGCTCTCCGCGGACTCGGGTCCCGGTCCGGATCTCCCGACGGCTGTGCTCGACCACCTTGCCCCTACTGATTCCTCCTATCACAGCGGAGTTGTTCCCCAAACCTCCGGTCAGGATGGAGGTCTCCCCCGTGGGTTGGGCCAAGGACAGCCCTTGAGGGTTCAGAACCTGTAGTCTGATATTACCCTCGGGTGCCTGAGAGCCACAGCTTCTTGGACGGCTGGTTTCCCACAGGTCTAGATGCCTGCTCTCCAGACAGTTGCTTTCTCGCGGATGGGGGTGTCTAGGTCCCGGGCTCCCCTCGCTGTTTTTTCCCTGGCTAGACCGGAGGACCTCTCCCTGCTCTCCCGACGTCCCAAGGCTTGTGAGCTGCGGCTGGGCTCTCAAAGGACGCGACCTCGTCGGTCTCGCACTTTAGCTCTTGGAAAGCACCCCCTGCCTCCTTCAGCAGCCGTGGCCTCGCCAGAGCCCTAGCCAGGCGTCCCTCTCCCGCCAGCGCTCTCCCTCTCTGCGTCCCTAACCTTCCTCCCTGGCAGCAGTGCGGGTGGTGTGAGTCGCTGCGCGGCGGGAGCCACTTTAAGCGGCCGCAGGCGGAGCGACCCCTGGCGCCCAGAGCGGGAAACGCGGGTGCGGGGCAGGCCGCCCCACCTCCCCCACCTCCCCGGCGAGCCCCCGGTCTCCAGGTTCCTCGCCTGCTCCCAGGGCTTTGCAGCGATTCCCAGTCCCCACCGCATCCTCACTTTCCACCCTGTACCTGGAGTTTGACATTCTCAGAGCTTAGAGGAAGATGGACACAGTGATGGGATAAACAGAGATCAGCCTACAATACACATATAAGACCTGAGAGGGGGACTATGGAACTAAACAAGGGGCGGAGAGGGGGGAACGGGACTTACATATAACAAACAAAAATAAAACGCGATTCGCCACCACACGTCCCCGGTGCCCCAAATACCGAATATGGCAAAGGGCTCAGCCGGTACTTGTTGGCCAGAATGGAAAAAGGTAACTCTCCTGCCGCTCCGACTCTGGTCTCTATGATTTGAGGGTCGCACAGAAGAAGAAGAAAAAGGAAGAAGAGGAGAGGAGAAGAGATAGAGAGAGAAAGAGAGACTAGGGAATCAGCAGGAAACGGACATCCATGAAATCAGAGACAGAAACAGAGATGGAGAGACAAAGCTCCGGAAAGAGACTGACTGACAGCCCCAGAGCGGGAGAGACAGAGACAGAGAGAGAGAGAAGGGAGCCTAGACAGGTTGACAGATCGAGAGAGAAATGTAAATGGCGCGCTGCAGAGAGACACCCAGGTCCGTGTTCGGACTCCAATGTGACATATCAACTGTGAGGAAGACGCGGGGGCGGGGCAGTTCTGCGAGCAGAGTGGTAGGCTGTGGGTCTGTGTGTTGTAACGGTGCTGGATACTGTGTGTGTGCTGGGGTGGCCATAAGACCCCGGCCTTGCTGTTTCTGGGTGAGTAGGGCTGTGAATTGTGGGCTGTCTTTGTGTATACATATGTGAGGCTGTTTGAAGAGGGAATTTGTATGTCTCTCTGTCTTAGTCCTAAAGTCTGATACCACAGAAGCCAGCTCTCCTGTCTCAGGACTGAAACCCGTGGAATCTCCTGGTGAGAAAGAGTCAGAAGGTTCGGCTCACTTGCTCTGCCCAGACGGGCACTACCTGAGTCTTGCCCTAATAATATCAGCCTCCCTCCTGGATTGTTTGTTACTAGAGAAAATAGAGAGAAGTTAGGCCCCACATAATGGCTGTCTGGTTGATTATGCATAACAACACAATTCAAATTTGGATTAGGTATTAGCCACTCGCCTATAAAGGGAACCATATCTGCCTTCAGAGTAACCAAGAAGGAACACTGGCTTTCATCAGAGTGCAGCGGGAAAGCCAGTAGCCGTGTCTTCTCAGGGAATAGAAGGTCAGAGGCTGGGAGTGGGGTTTAGGACCGAAGGGGCTAGGGGTCTTTGGAGACCTAACAGTAGACAGCAGCCAGTAGGGTAAAAGCCAAGAGGGTGGTGTATGGAAGAATATGTTGTGTAAAACAGGGCACGAGGCGCACCAGGGCACAGTTGTCGCAGAAGGGGATTTCTTCATCTCTCATTTCCTATACTCTTTCTTTGGACCCCTGCTACACCTTGTGAGAAAGAAGTGGCTGGGGGCTGGAGCTGGGCTGGGCCTTTGCTGGGAGTGGGGCGAGGTCCCTACCGGCCTGAAAGGATTGGGTGAGAAAGGATTGGCAGCCAGTGGGGGAAGGGCTTCTCCTCCAACCATAAATACAAATTTTATTCAAGGTCTTTGTCACCATTTGTCTTCCTCGGGGGGCTGAGGGCCATGTCGGCCCTGTGCATGTCTAATTCCAGATCTGCTCCCCCAGGCTGCATGATGGATGGATCAGGGAAAGCAGGTCTCAGTTCATGCCAGTCTCCCCTGCAGAGCCTCAGGCCTCATCCACCCCAGTCCCTACGCCCTCTTCTCTCCCTACATCCTCCCTCCATTCAGCAGAGGCCTCTCCGCCCAGTTCTCCATCCACCCAACTAGTCCTAGTCCCCATCACCCCGTTTTTGATCCCCTCACCTCAGTCCCTTTCAGATGCCCGGTTTCTTCTCTGGAGCATCTTCTGCTCCTATCCCCAGGCCAAGCTGTGAGCTGCAGTGACCAGGCAGGCTGCAGGAGGCAGCGGTTGTATTTGGTGTGTGTGGGGTGGGGTGGGGGGAGCAGGCTTGGCTCACAGGGAGCCAAGGGGCCAGCTCTATGAATTTATTCATGTTCTGTTGCTCTTTCCCCACGCTCTGGAATGAAGCTGCCAGCTCACCAGGTCCTCATAGCTTCCTCTGCAGCTGTCATCGTCCAAAGAGGGACACTGTTAGGGCTAAGACCAGTAGGTCTTCCTGTGGCCAAAAATCTCTGAGAGAAAGCTGGGGAGTCGGGAAGAGATCAGGGACATTTTACCCAGAGCCTCTCTGGTGATGGAACAAGGAGGTCCCAGTGAAGAGATGAGCCTAAGAACGGGAGCCGGGCAGCCAGGGGTGCAGCAAGGCAACAGAAGCCTGGTGCAGGGCTGGTGGCAAGAAGGTGGGGATGAGTTCAGCAGTCTCCTAAACAAAGCAGAGCCCTGTGTGGAATCCTGCGCTAACCTCTACCAATGACTCTGCACTTCTGCTCTTCCTAATCCCAAATTACACACTTAACTTCTCTCCAATCCTAAAACGAAACTAAATTCCATAACAAGACCCTAAGGGGAATCCTTACTTTCTAGAACCCAAGGGTTTCCCCAGAATTTCCCCCAAGGCTATATAGCAGGTGTGTGTCAGAGCTCTAAGGGCCAGACTTTAGATTAGCATGTTATTAGCATATGATTTGCATGTGGTATGTGCCTTCTCGGCAGAAGTTTTCATGTTAAATTTTTATGAAGTCTAGCAGAAAGGTCCTGGCTCCTTGAAGGTTCTTTCTTTTTGTTCTTTCTCTCATACTTATCCTCATTGACCCAGACGTCCTCTAGGGAAGAAAGGGGTGAGAAGGTCAGCAGTGGGGTGGAGAGGGTGGGAAGACCTTACAGGCCTCAGCTTCCTCATCTATGGGGATGGGGGCTAGTATCTCATCCAAATCTAAGAACCCTTTCCTTGCCTCCTCTCCAGAGCCAGTGGGAGTGCTAATCTCCCTAACCTTCCATGCTCTTGCTTTCCATTCCACTTTGGAGGACAGAAGCAGCTCGGACCCCCTGTATAAAAAGGAGAGAACTCTGTCCACTTTAGGGCACTGCAGGAGATAACAATAGGTGTTTGTTTCATTTTAGGGTTTTTAACATGCAAGTCCTCCTTGCATCCTTTCGGCATCCCTAGGACTTGGGTGCTTTATCCCTCTCTGTGAAAGATGAAGAAGCTGGGGTCCAGAACCGGGAAGTGAATTGTCTGGTTACCATCCTGCAAGGAGATATTCCTAGAATGGGAATTGGGTGGGCTATTCTTCCAATGGGAGTTTTGATGTTTCAGATTCCTTCCCAGTGCTTGGAAAAGAGACAGTGGCACCAGAGGCAATGAGGGGGTGAGAGATGCTGGGCAGAAGTAGGCAGCACGAATTTTATAGGGACCCAACAATCTACCATGTTGACTCCAACGGAGCAGTCTTAACTTGACACGTCCCCAACTTCTGCTCCAGTTGTCAACCCTGACACCCGCCAAGGTTCAAATATTGGCTAACAGAAGGACAGAGTTATTTTCAGAGGATGATTCAGACAGAGAAAGGGGGCACAGAAAAGGGAGGGGGATGAGAAAGCGAAGTAAGGTAGGGGAATTTTGCTTCCTTTGGCAAGGGTCACTCCCTCTGTGACCAGGGTGGAAAAGCTGGCAGCTTGACCTGCACACACACAGTTTGCCTTCTTTTGGGGATGATGGACCTGCACCGAAGGCCAGGGCCTCTGCAGTCGCCAGGACAGCGTTTGACCTAGAGCACCATATATCCTTGTTCAAAGACCGCTGGCCTGAGAGCAGAGCAGACTCCATGCTCCCGAGCGAGCTGAGCGGAGTGCTTCCAAAATGTTAGGCCAGCGTGCTGATTTCCTTCCGCAGCCCTTCACATCTATCCAGATGAGGCTTCTGGTTTTCATCCCGCACCCTCTTCACCTCCCTTTGAGTTGGCAACCCCCACCCCGTGCCCCAGTGTCTGGTTAATGAAATGTGGCAATTGACTGCACAGACAGCTGTCATGCCCCTCATTTCTCCGCTGGGATATTGAATCCCTCGCCGGGAGACCGACAGGTGAAAGGAGGTGGATGGGGTGCAGAGAAATGAAGGAGGGGTGCGGGCTGTTGAGAGCTGAGAGCCCAGGAGGAAGCGCCATTCTCCAAGTCTCCAGGGCTCAGTTAAATGATGTAGGCCCTAGGATGTTCTTTCTGTCCGGGGCCCCTAGTGTTTTTCCATTCTTTAACAAGCAGCAGACTTTATCAGCCCCAAACCCACCGCCCTCGGACAACAGTCGACCTCACTTCTTGCCTTCACTCAGGACCAAGCCTGGCTTCAGTGAGAGCAGCAAGCAACGCCTTGCAGCCCGCGGCGGCAGCCCAGTGCTTCCTGCCATCTCCTTCCATCCCTTTCCTCTTGCTCCCCCTCCTTTTTGCGCTCCCTCCCCCGCGGCCGCGGCCTTTATTAGGGATTCCGCGGCTGTCGGTCCCGC